TTTTATCTTGTATTTTAAAAAGAAAATCATTATTCTAACAGTCATAATTAAAAATAAACGATATAAAATGTTAGGAATTGTTAATAAGTTTACTATGGTGTCTAATGCTGTATAGTTTATATATTTTATTATTATTATTATTTTTTTTATTTGTAAGAAAAAAAAATAATTTCTATAAAATCGCACATTCGAATTTTATTCTTTTTCGCTACAGAAAATGTCAATATTCCTTAAATATACAATATATCTACGAAACGATGTGAAAGGTTTTTTTTTTTTTTTCCTTTATATTACAAAAAAAAATAAATAAATAAATGATCCCTTTAATAATCATTATTCCTCTTCGATTGAATTGAATCATCCATCTTTGTTTCTTTCTAAAATAAAAAAAAAAAGTATTCCGCCCGAATTCCTTTAAGCATCAAAGTTTTAATTGAGGCTATTACGTGTAAATTCTAAATGATAATTACTACGCTTTCTTTCGTATCTTTTTCTTGCCGCATTTTTTTGAGCGGGAGTTTTCGGGCACAATTCCAACACTTCTGGTGGTATTGGCATAGTTTTTAGTACACTGGGCCTTTCGATAAGTTGTCCTACCATGCCCATTTCAACGTGCCACTACATATAAAGAAAGTGAATTGTTAGAAAAAGAACGTGACTTTATAGATTTGATAGTTGCTTAAATTTACCTCAATGTGACAATGGAAAGCCCATACTCCTGGATTATCGATTCTGAATCTAATTACGGTCCATCTAAACCAAATAAAAGTTCATTATTATTATTATCATTCCAAAAGATAAACAAATCAATCAATCAATAAATAACAAACTTACGAATTTCCATCAATGGTTACAGTATCACGTACAGCAGGGTCTACCAAATTGTATTTAGATGGATCAGGTACATTTCCTTCCCCATGACCCAAGATGAAGAAGTTGTGTCCGTGCTATATAAATAAGGAAAATTTGAATTTAACAACGCATCATCAAAAAGTTCACGCAAAGTTCACGCGAAAAAAACACGTTACCAAATGAAAAGGATGTGTGCCACCTCTTTCATCTATAGTTATATTAGGTAAATAGTTAATTCAAAAATCCTAAAAGTGGGTTCACATTCAAACGGGAGGAGGAAGACTTACTAAGTAAGATAATTTCAACAACACCGTTTTCAGTATCGTAAATAAAAGCATTTTGATTCGGTTCCAAATCCTTGGCTTCCATATTTCCACCAGCCATGATATTATTAACGGTAGGATCATATATATCAGGAACAAAAGAACTATTATTTATAAAAGCTTTTAGAACATTCCTTTCATTACGTCTAAATGTAATATGGAAGGTGAATGAATCCGTTACAGGTTCCGGAACAGGTCTAGGTTCATATAATTTTAATAGGTTATGATCGATATCTCGACAT